TTTTTGTGTTGTCATAAAGTGCGCGAGGTAGCGGCGCACGCACACACACTGGAATAGCAGCCAACCCAGCGCTACACGGAGCTGCGCCACCTTCGGAGGATGCGAAAACCATACTGTAGCAACGGCTGCGAGTATACAAGATCTCAAAACGTCACTCAAAAACCCGTTCTTAAAGTGAGGCTTTGAGATTTCCTATTTACAGCCTCTGCTGTGGTTTTCACACCCTCTAAAGGTGGTTCTGCAGTGCCGAGTAGCGTTGGGCTTGGTTGGTCGCTCTGGGACAACCCCATCTCCTCGATAACCTAACTTCACCGGGGGCAAGATCGGCGGTATTGCGATTCGTTGCTGGCGCTACGCGAAGATGCTACGGACCGCCTTCGCGGGAAGTCAAGTATTTTGAGGACATAGAACAGGGAGGGGGTACGCAGACCCTATTTCCTAACCCGAACCCGAACCCAACTTCCCCGATTGTGTATGCTTTACCCAACATGCTAATTAAATACGACAAACCTACGAAGTTTGCTGGATGTTATACCCAATGCCATCGAGTGTTGGCGCGGCAGCTGGAGTGCTGAGTGCGTGCGCAACTGCTGTGCGGCGACGCGTGTGTGCGCGGGGCACGACAGAGGGGAGGGAAGAGAAAGCTGCGGCAGAAAGGAGAGGGTCGGAACTCGCGAGGTCCAGAAGTCGGAAAGCGGAGAAGAACCACATGCAGTCTACCACGCAGGTGAAGTGAAATGACACGGGGGAAAGGGTGGTGGTCTGTCTGTCAGGGAAAAAAAAAATCGGAACACTGGCCAGTCTACACGGAAACAGAAATCTGGCCCTCGCTGAACGCTGTTCGAAAAGATAAAAGAGATCACTGCTGTTATTCATAGCCGGGGGCCGTTAGCCTACAGACCATGACACACCCCATATAGGCCCGCAAGGTCGGGAAGGGAAGGGTCGTCACACTGTGTCCTATTGACAATTGACCACCTAATTCCTTCAGAGACCGATGAGTCCCCCCCCCCCACCCCCCCTCCATTGGTATTTGCAGGCATACGCGGGGTCATGGTCTGTACGCTAATGGCCTCCAGCCATATATCATATAGATAATTTATACCTCCCTCCCCCCGGCTCTGCAGACATATGGGGGGGCATTAAGCTCACCCCAGCCTGGTCCGGTGAGAACTCGGCGTGCTCCGTCCCGGCATGGTCGGGATGCGAGGTCAATGGTCCAACGACTACACGGCTATGAGTACAACCCCCCCTACCCCCCCCCCCAAAGTACACGGAGGCAAAGTACATTATTAGCACTAAAACCCACCTTGGTTTTGCTTCTCCTCCACGTCTTCCTGACGTCGTCGTATCGCTCCAGGAAAAAGAAGGATTGCATCATGCACTCCCAGCGGAATGCCCACATCTCCACGCCTTGAGCCAGCTGCCGTAGATATTCACGCAAGGGGGGGCGGAGACGGGAGTGTTTGTTTGGGTGCTTTGATAGCAAGGGGGGTAGGGACTCGATACTACGTAAGGATGCGTGTTGTGTGGAAGAGAGAGGAGGGGGGGGGAGGGGGAGAGAGACAACTAGAGGGAGAAAGAGAGAGAGAGAAGAAGAAAGAGAGAGAGAGAGAAGAAGAAAGAGAGAGAGAGAGAAGAAGAAAGAGAGAGGCACAGGGGGAGGGAGACGGAAAGAGAGAGAGAGAGAGAGGGGGGGGGGCAGGGACAGGGAGAGAGAGAAAGACAAACAGACACAAAGGGAGAGCGAGCCCCTCACTGCAGCACCCCAAAAAGAGGCGTTGCCTCCCTGCGCCCACAGGTGTCACGTGGAAAAAACATCAGTACACGCCCTCGCAAGTAGTCTCCCCTCTCGCCAGTTCAAACGGACCTCCGGGAGCTCCAGGGAAACCCTCTTTTACCACGCCTGCACGCGTATGCAGAGAAAGCCTCTTTCGCCACTCCTGCACGCGTGTGCAGAGCAAAAACATTCTTGTACCACTTTTTCCGTGCGACCGTACACGCAAAGAAAGCCTATTTTCGTCGGCACTCCTGCACGAGTATGCAGAGAATGCAGAGAAAAGACACTTTTCGCTACCACGCCTGCGCGCGTACACACAGAAAAGCTTCTTGTGCCACTTTTCCGCGCGTACTGTTCACGCATAGCGAGTCTTGCAGCCGTACGCAGAGAAAAAGCCTCTCGAACCACTTTTTCCGCGCGTACAGTACACGAACAGAAAAAAAACCTTTTCTTTCACAACCTCTTTAGGCGTAGGCCTACGCATGGATCCCAACGCTGCCTGCATAGAAAATACCCAATATCCGTCATCCATACAGTACCATCACCAGCAGGCGCATCGATGTGCGTACCTACTTCGTCTCCGGACGGAGACGGATCGACAAAACGGTCGTCAACAAGCGTGGACACCGCAGCTTGACACGGCCCGCCAAATCTCTCTCTCTCTCTGTGTATGTGTTTTTTCTAAAAATCTCATTACCAAATCCTGGATACAACGCACAGCAGCCGTATACGACTCAAGATAACACGCCCCCTGGACCGATTTTCAAAGCTCGATTACTCCACGACGAAGAGGATGCATATATAGACGAAACGATACGTTTTCGGAGAACTCTCGACCGGACGACTTCAATGCCGCCGTTTTCGGCGCTGCGACTCTTCCTGCTGTTGAAAAAATCGAGCTGTGAAAATCGGTCCAGGGGGTGTGTTATCTTATGTCATGGTATACGGTAGTACAGCAGTGATGGGGTCTCGTCTTGGTGTTGACTCCCCCCGCTGACCCCACGAAAGGAGGAAGCCATTTCGTCTCTGTCTACAAAGTCCCGTCACATTCAATTTCTACCACAAAACAGCGTCAAACCAGAGGTTGCCTCAAAACACGGTACTTCGTCAGGCTCATTCACTCTCGGTTTGCTCAGGCATCACGGCCATCTTCTCTTCTCCCACTGCTCGTCAACAACGTCAAACCAGAGACCAAAAAACACAGCAGTAGTCAGTCTACGCGGGTATTTCCATGTATGCAAACATACTGGATAAAGTATAGACTCGGCATAGTTAGGGTTAGGGTTAATGTCTGCGTGCCCCCTGCCTAGTCATTCTTCGCGCAGGCAGTCGTCAAAAAAAAAAAAAAAAGATTTATTGGCTGCAGGCTCCAATCACTCACCGTTTGCTCAAACATCGCGGCCGCCTTCTTCCACTGCTTCCCCTGCGCGTACACGACGGCGACGCGGCAGACCACCTCCGACGACGGGGCCATCCCCGCCTTTCGCAGCGCCTCCACCGTTCGCTCCACGCGCTGCCAGTAGTCTGGACGGTCGATCCCGGACCGAGACCTGCAGGCGGCGATGGCCAGCTTGTACGTGTGGTCCGGCGTCGCTTCTCTCTTGCCCTGTCGTCGGCCGTGAGTAGGCGTGAAGGGGGTTCCGAGGATAACGCGTGCGGGGGGGGAGGGGGGGGTACTCTTATGTTTTGCATGCCTTGGCACTTAGACCATTGACCACGCG